TCTCTCTCTCTCTCTCTCTCTCTCTCTCTCTCTCTCTCTCTCTCTCTCTCTCTCTCTCTCTCTCTCTCTCTCTCTCTCTCTCTCTCTCTCTCTCTCTCTCTCTCTCTCTCTCTCTCTCTCTCTCTCTCTCTCTCTCTCTCTGATGCTCTCTCTCTCTCTCTCTCTCTCTCTCTCTCTCTCTCTCTCTCTCTCTCTCTCTCTCTCTCTCTCTCTCTCTCTCTCTCTCTCTCTCTCTCTCTCTCTCTCTCTCTCTCTCTCTCTCTGATGCTCTCTCTCTCTCTCTCTCTCTCTCTCTCTCTCTCTCTCTCTCTCTCTCTCTCTCTCTCTCTCTCTCTCTCTCTCTCTCTCTCTCTCTCTGATGCTCTCTCTGATGCTCTCTCTCTCTCTCTCTGATGCTCTCTCTCTCTCTCTCTCTCTCTGATGCTCTCTCTCTCTCTCTCTCTCTCTCTCTCTCTCTGATGCTCTCTCTCTCTCTCTCTCTCTCTCTCTCTCTCTCTCTCTCTCTCTCTCTCTCTCTCTCTCTCTCTCTCTCTCTCTCTCTCTCTCTCTCTCTCTCCCTCTCCCTGATGCTCTCTCTCTGATGCTCTCTCTCTCTCTCTCTCTTTGATGCTCTCTCTCTGATGCTCTCTCTCTCTCTCTCTATGATGCTCTCACACTCGAATGCTGTCTTACTCTGATGCTCTCTCTCTCTCTCTCTCTCTCTCTCTCTCTCTCTCTCTCTCTCTCTCTCTATATATATATATATATATATATATATATATATGTGTGTGTGTGTGTGTGTGTGTGTGTGTGTGTGTGTGTGTGTGTGTGTGTGTGTGTGTGTGTTTCTCTGTCTCGCTCATTCTGCCGACAATGATGCTCAAGAATTGTGGGAGGCAGGGGCCCATCTTTTCTTTTTATTTCTCATAAAGGAACGGCTTTTAAACACCCTGAATTCATGCACTGAGTATCATGAAATCATTAGTATTTTTTCTGGTGAAATTACTAGATCCACGTATGAATACACAAGTTTGAAATACTTTTCTGCTGCAACTTCCTAACCAAATATCTACAAATCAGATGAGTTATTTTCTTAAAATAAAGTATCAGCGATGATGCATCGGCGAAGAATCGATGTATCGGAATCGCTAATTTGCAAGTATCGATGTATTGTTATCGCCTTAGCCAATTCTGTGAATTGATGCTCATCACCGTCAACATACTAGTTATTTTCGACTGTAAAATGTGCCTTGCTCCAAGAAGCTACACACTAACAATGTTTACACACTAACAATGATTCTCCGTCTCCTTTCTCCGGGAAGTCACAATTTCGCTCAGTATTGGAATACTCCTCTCGAGCATGGACACGAGCAACCCAGCAGAACCTAGCAGCCCTAGACCCTCCCACGGCGAACATCTGACATTTCCAGAGACATTTTATTTGTAGATATTTAGGTCTGTGGAATGATGTGTATAACATCCATGATACTACATTTACATGTACTATTCAGAGTTTCAAATGTTTAGTAAATGAAATGCTATCTTAGAAGTTCACATGAAAAATATAACAAGTTTTACGATATATGTTATAGTGACATTTCTTTAACCTAATTAATAAAGGGAGAAAGAGAGAGAGAGAGAGAGAGAGAGAGAGAGAGAGAGAGAGAGAGAGAGAGAGAGAGAGAGAGAGAGAGAGAGAGAGAGAGAGAGAGAGAGAGAGAGAGAACTCAACTAGACCTTTCAGATTTGCTTATGAAAATGATATATAAAATTTACAAAAAGCAAACTCACCGTCTCCGGGGCAATACAGTGTACCGGCCAGATCGTCAACGTTCATGAGTGGGTACAATTTCTTGGTCTCAGCAGGGTCCAGCACGTAGCTCTCAATGCCTTGGACTCGGCCTACAGTCATTAGACGTTTGTATTCTTGTAGTCTTTCCTATAAGATACATGTGTGAAAGTGATACCTTTATACACCCGCGTGTCCATAAATAAACACGTACTTTATGATTTGAGGTGGCACAGATCAGTGGTAGAGCCCTAGCTTTGCATTCGCAAGGTCCGTGCCCGGCCGCCCCTCTCAGTCGACTCAGCTGTGAGTGCTAACATACATCCACTTGGATACGGGACCATCTTTGACTTTATGATTTCAGGATATGAAGTTAGATCTCACGATAATAATTCAAGTATGCTTTTGGAATAATACATTCGTTCAGTTTGATTTCTTAAAAGAACTATTTAAAAAGTTAAAGGTCTTCCCGGAATAATTTGTAAATGTTGCTATGCATATTTTCATCCATATAAAATAAGCAAAAAGTAAGAAGTCCTAACTAATTCTGAGGGAAAAAAATGCGATCAAATTTCCGGCCATAATTAAATGTCATTCAACTCACTTTGCTTGACGCTATGAATAAACCTCCGTTATTAATCCAACCAGGATTAACACCTGTCTCATCTTCTAATCTTGCCAGAAGCTCCCTCGTTGTGTTGATCAAGTGAATCTCTGCGTCGCTGGGTCTCAGACGCCACAGTAAGCCCGCGGTATGCCATGTCGTACCTTCAAGAAGTGATTGTTATTTATGTTGAAATTTTATTGGTGTAGCGTTAAACATTAAAATGAAATCGCAGCACAAAGTCCATTAGAAATTTATTTCGTTACGAAATACTGTACGCGGTCTGCGTCCGCAATAAAAGAAAGGCAACACTATCAGTATATCTAAATAAAAAATGTGATCATTCTTTTCTTTGCAGTGTACAAATTAACTACCATACCTTTTTAAAAACCATTAAAAATATCCATAAAAGATCCATAAAATAACAACACTCAGTCTTTACAGATTACAAAAGGAAGATTTACACATTACAAGGTCAATATTTCAAAAATAGATTCATAAAAAAATAATAAAGCAAAGATAAAAAATACAATCTTAAGGCCTTCCGTTTCCCTCCTCCATACCTGACGTGATCTGGTGAGTCTCCAGCAGAACGGTGTTGGTGACGCCCAACTTAGCCAGGTGGTAGAGTGCGTTGCAGCCGAGCGAGCCTCCACCGACCACCACTACGTCTGCCTCGCAAGGAACTGTCTGGGGCGCGTGCACTGATTTGTCCTGGATTTGGATTTCAGAAGTTTTTTTTTTTTGACTTACAAGAAAATGATGTTGAAAACTTTTACTCTAGAACAGGGGCTCTTAACTGGAGGTCCATGAACTGTGTTTCAGGAGTCCGTGAATTGCCATGTTTTATTTATATATACATTTTCATGAGACGTTACACAGGGTGTACATTAACTCTATATTTCGATGGTTCTAGAAATTAATGATTACAACATACTGCATCTCTATTCCCCTCAACTCCCTCCCCTTTCGCTGTGTATCATGGATTATCAGGTTTCCACAAAATTCAAAAGGGGACCGTGGCTCAAAATAAGTGAAGAACCTATGCTACAGAACAACAAACTTTAAATCTTAATTATAACAAGAATGGTAAAAAGTAATGTTGAAAGTAAAATCTTTCCTTTGATAATGAATTATTAATATATCTTCCTTTCTCATGAATTAATCTACAGTTACATAACAACTAATATTTCACTGTAAATTTGTGTGATTACCATCTCTATCCCCATTGTTCATGTAATACGTAACTGCATTTCTTTAATGTGGCTTACATTCTAATTTCCAGACCTTTATTGTGTCCTTGTAAGGGACGCCCTCCATGCCACTCGCCGCCCGGACGCAGCTAACCTGCGGCCACACTTTCCTCCAGCGGCGCAAGGACGCGGCCATCATCTTTCACG